CGTGACTGCAGTTTGTTCTCTACAATTGTAAATATTAAAATTGATATCTGTTCCACCGGCGATCCCGACGTGAATCTCAGTATTTTATATTTTGAGGTGATTATTGTGATTTGAAACCTGTAATTTGACGTCTCACAATCGAGTATTTAATGGTAGAATCTTGATACACACACGGATATAAACATATTGTTTTATTATCTCCACTTTATAACTATTTGCAAAATACTTGATTTTCTCATATATGCGAGGAAGGATATCGATTGATCTAATGGCGTTTATCAGTATGTTCTACTTCAAATCGACAAGGGGGCACGGATGTGCAGAGTTGCGTCCCTTGGGCACGCCAGAAACTTATGATTGTGTGTTCGAATCCCGGTTCGTCCCGATTATGTTACTAGGTTTGTCAGCACCACACGCTTGTGTGTTTCACCCGTCGTCTTAGGCCGTCTCAGGTAAAGGCCTGCATCACTTTGGGCTTTCCTCTAACATTAAATTGTGATACAAGTGTAATAGTTTATTGTTAAAAGCCGTTAAACCTGTATGCTGTCCATCATAGTTTGACTCAGACCTTTCCAGCTACCCCTCATCCCATCTTCAAGCTATTTAAAAAGCATATTTTCAATCAAATATTTTCATAAAAGACATTTAGAAGTTGAGTTTTATCGTTTTATGGATAACATAAAACACCTGGTGAAGAGGCGAGAACCAGCACAGACATGTTGTGATAAGACTCTGAAGAAGTTGTCAGACATGAAGAGTTTCATGTCTTAAACAACATTATATATTTTTTCCCTTCTTTAAGGTAGACTTAGGGCGGTCGGGTAGCCTAGTGGTTAAAGCGTTAGCTCGTCACGCCGAAGACCCGGGTTCGATTCCCGACATGGGTTCAATGTGTGAAACCCATTTCTGGTATCCCCCGCCGTGATATTGCTGGAATATTGCTAAAAGCGGCGTAAAATCATACTCACTCACTAAGGTAGACTTAAAATACATTCAACAAGTCTGACCAGGGTTCCGCTTCTTATTGTCTATACTTGGGATTGGAAGGGTAACTCGGGTACTGAAAAGGACCCTGGGTACTCACAGGAATACTCACACCCGTGGTTAGTCACATGATACATTGTTTAATGACAAAAATATCTGGAACTCTATGGTTACACTACAAGTCACTAATGTTTGCATTTGTTTCTGACTATGCACACATTCCTTCTGAGTTCTCTTTGTTTGAATAAAGATAAAGCTTCAGTCAGCTTCCGTGTATGCATGACCAGATCATTTTATACCTGTGTCTAAATACATTTTGACAAGACTACGGTTAAACTATGCCCAATCGGACATTTCGTACCCATCTCTTGAGATCTACAGCGGGTACCGGGTAGGGTAGGGTAATAGGGGGTTGGGTACCCGGGTAGTAAATTTGGACTTGTCTCTGCCCTATTGTCTACAGTGCAGTTTGCCTACAATGCAGCTGACTAAAAGCAGGATACTGTTCCCCTTAAGGAGTACGTGACCCAGTCCAATTATAGATTTGTTTGTTGTTTAACGCCGCTCTCAGCAATGTTCCAGCTATATGACGGCTGTCTGTAAATAATCGTGTCTGGACCAGGCAATCAAGTGAATGATATTATGAGCATCGATCCACGTAATTGGGATACGATGACATGCATCAACCAAGTCTGACCACCCGATCCCGTTAGTCGTTAGTCCCCTTTTACGACAAACATGGTCGCCTTTTACGGCAAGCATGGGTTGCTGAAGACCTATTCTGATCCGGATCTTCATGGGTCTAACGTTTGTAGAAAGTGATGACAATGGTAATCATGTCAAATGTACACAGGTTAAATTTACATAAATTCTTCAGGAGGTATTCATTACTTTTTGTTGTCCAATGATGGTGGGTTCAAATCCCAGATTCACACTGATTATTTATAATCATGGTTGGGTCTTCAACATATTCATGCTCCTGGGTTTCACAGAAGTGGTAAGCATCTAAGAACTCACTCACTCACCCACCAACCCACTCACTCACTCACTCATGAAGATACAGGTTAGAATAGGTCTTCAGCAACCCATGCTTGCTGTAAAAATCGACTATGCTTGATCGGGTGGTGGTGGTGGTCAGGCTTGCTGACTTGGTTGATGCATCATTGCTCATGATGTCAATCACTGCATTGTCTGGTCCAGACTCGGTTATTTAGACCTCCATTACATACCGGTAGTCATACAGCTGGAATATTGCTGAGTGTGGCGTTAAACAATACTCACTCACTCTTATTTGTGCATTTTTTCCATTGAGACACAACTTGAGAACAATTTTTCTGACAGCCTTTATTATCATTTGCTATTGGAATTCATGCAGACGACAGACAGAGAGATGGCAGACAGACAGTGAGTGAGTATGGTTTTACATGCTTTTAGCATTATTCCAGCAATATCATGGCGGGGGACACCAGAAATGGGCTTCACACATTGAACCTATGATGGGCTTCACACATTGTACCTATGATGGGCTTCACACATTGTACCTATGATGGACTTTACACATTGTACCTATGATGGGCTTCACACATTGTACCTATGATGGGCTTCACACATTGAACCTATGATGGGCTTCACACAATGAACCTATGATGGGCTTCACACATTAAACCTATGATGGGCTTCACACATTGACTTTATGATGGGCTTCAGACATTGAACCTATGATGGGCTTCACACATTGAACTTATGATGGGCTTCACACATTGAACCTATGATGGGCTTCACACATTGAACCTATGATGGGCTTCACACATTGTACCTATGATGCACTTCACACATTGAACCTATGATGGGCTTCACACATTGTACCTATGATGGGCTTCAGACATTGAACCTATGATGGGCTTCACACATTGAACCTATGATGGGCTTCACACATTGTACCTATGATGGGCTTCACACATGGGCTTTATGATGGGCTTCACACATTGTACCTATGATGGGCTTCACACATTGACTTTATGATGGGCTTCACACATTGTACCTATGATGGGCTTCACACATTGTACCTATGATGGGCTTCACACATTGAAGCTATGATGGGCTTCAGACATTGTACATATGATGGGCTTCACACATTGAACCTATGATGGGCTTCACACATTGAAGCTATGATGGGCTTCAGACATTGAACCTATGATGGGCTTCACACATTGAACCTATGATGGGCTTCACACATTGTACCTATGATGGGCTTCACACATTGACTTTATGATGGGCTTCACACATTGTACCTATGATGGGCTTCACACATTGTACCTATGATGGGCTTCAGACATTGAACCTATGATGGGCTTCACACATTGAACCTATGATGGGCTTCAGACATTGACTTTATGATGGGCTTCACACATTGTACCTATGATTGGCTTCAGACATTGAACCTATGCTGGGCTTCACACATTGAACCTATGATGGGCTTCACACATTGACTTTATGATGGGCTTCACACATTGACTTTATGATGGGCTTCAGACATTGAACCTATGATGGGCTTCACACATTGACTTTATGGTGGGTTTCACACATTGAACCTATGATGGGCTGCACACATTGAACCTATGATGGGCTTCACACATTGAACCTATGATGGGCTTCACACATTGAACCTATGATGGGCTTCACACATTGAAGCTATGATGGGCTTCACACATTGAAGCTATGATGGGCTTCAGACATTGTACCTATGATGGGCTTCACACATTGAACCTATGATGGGCTTCACACATTGAAGCTATGATGGGCTTCAGACATTGTTCCTATGATGGGCTTCACACATTGTACCTATGATGGGCTTCACACATTGAAGCTATGATGGGCTTCAGACATTGTACCTATGATGGGCTTCAGACATTGAACCTATGATGGGCTTCAGACATTGTACCTATGATGGGCTTTACACATTGACTTTATGATGGGCTTCACACATTGTAGCTATGATGGGCTTCGGACATTGTACCTATGATGGGCTTCAGACATTGAACCTATGATGGGCTTCACACATTGAACCTATGATGGGCTTCACACATTGTACCTATGATGGGCTTCAGACATTGAACCTATGATGGGCTTCAGATATTGTACCTATGATGGGCTTCACACATTGTACCTATGATGGGCTTCACACATTGACTTTATGATGGGCTTCACACATTGTACCTATGAGGGGCTTCACACATTGTACCTATGATGGGCTTCACACATTGACTTTATGATGGGCTTCACACATTGTACCTATGATGGGCTTCACACATGGGCTTTATGATGGGCTTCACACATTGTACCTATGATGGGCTTCACACATTGACTTTATGATGGGCTTCACACATTGTACCTATGATGGGCTTCACACATTGTACCTATGATGGGCTTCACACATTGAAGCTATGATGGGCTTCAGACATTGTACCTATGATGGGCTTCACACATTGAACCTATGATGGGCTTCACACATTGAAGCTATGATGGGCTTCACACATTGAAGCTATGATGGGCTTCACACATTGAACCTATGATGGGCTTCACACATTGTACCTATGATGGGCTTCACACATTGAACCTATGATGGGCTTCACACATTGAAGCTATGATGGGCTTCACACATTGAAGCTATGATGGGCTTCACACATTGAACCTATGATGGGCTTCACACATTGTACCTATGATGGGCTTCACACATTGTACCTATGATGGGCTTCACACATTGTACCTATGATGGGCTTCACACATTGTACCTATGATGGGCTTCACACATTGTACCTAAGATGGGCTTCACACATTGAACCTATGATGGGCTTCACACATTGTACCTATGACGGGTCTTCAGCTGACGAGTGAACGCTTTAACCACTAGGCTACCCGACGCCCCAGACAGGCAGACAGACAGACAGATGAACTAAGATAATAATAAAACCCATGTCCATGTATTTTCAATAAAGAAATAGAAACAAAACTAAGTGTGCTATTTTACCATGTTTATTGACAGATGATTATAACACACAGCACAAGATATGACAACAAGAGTACAAAGTACATTCAACGCTCTGAGCGTGTCAATCATTAACTCTACAGCAAATCTACATCAGATTCAACAAATACAAAACATTTAGAAAGTTCTTCACATTAGTATCTCAACATAAATTCAGTCTTCAAAATATTTATTTTCAAAATACAAAAAGAAAATAAACTCACAATAACAGAGCACAGTTTTGTTCTCTCTCAATCCTTAAAATTGCTTTTAATGACTTCCATGTATTTAAATGTCAGAGAGATAGCCAATATTCACCCTGCCATGTTTTTTCATGTTTCCATGACACTCCTTGTATGCATCTTCCCAAGGCAAGGGAGTTAACTAACTTTATAAATCCAGTGGAAACTGGACTTTTAGAGTCAGTTATCTCCCTTGCCTTAGGAATGCCTTGCATGAGGGCTGTGTTATCAGTCTGAAGTCATCAGTTACAGACAGAGAAAAAACGATTATTGTTTTTTTATGATTTATTGCATCCCATTTGATGGCAGTGACTTTGCTGTATGTTTGGGTCCACTTTCCATTTCATGTTTGTTTTCTAAAAATAATCCAAACAAAAAACCATGAAAAACGTCTGAATTATTAAAAAATATTGTAATATAAGATTTCTTGACAGTAACAATGTTGACTAAGTTACACTGATTGCTGGTTTCAGAATTATTGCCATGACAACAGGACAACATTATTTCAAAAAATTATACTTGAGCAGAATAGACTCAAATGATAGAGAAGGAAAGTGCATCATCAACAACACTATCCCACATGTATCTCTTTAATTTTTTAAACATTGTAATAAATAAAATATTCAAATCTCCATGTCAGATGTTCATTTCAGATGAAATTGTACAAAATTAATTTTATCAAAACACATTATTGCATATTCAATCATGTTGGAGTGTATTTTTTTGTATTCAGGATTATAGGACTATTTTTCCATTTGTAGTTTGGGTTCCAACTCGTCAAAAGATGGGTAGGTAGGTAGTTAGGGCAAGGAAAGATAACTCTTCCGAAACTATCAGGACAATCCTCACACTCACAGAACTAATATTAAAACCAGATTTTTTCTTGCTCTAAAAGTATATTGTCCTTGCAGAGTAATTTTCCTTAATGATGAAAACAATTCATTTCTGTTCATGGACTGTTTTCACATAGTTTGTTTGTTTGTTTGTTTATTTCTAAAATGCCACACTCAGCAATATTCCTGCTTAACTAACCCAGAGACAATCCAGTGATTGACATCATGAACATCGATCTACACAATTGGGATACGATGACATGTATCACCCAAGTCAGCGAACCTGACCACCCAATCCTTTAGTCACATCTTACGACAAGCACGGGTTGCTGAAGACCAATTCTAACCCAGATCTTCGTGGGGTATCACATAGTACAAGACTTGATACGTGTGGCACAGTTTGTATCAAATGGACAGTAGACCCATTCAGTATTACTCTACACAGAGCAAGATAATCGTATGCTCACACATAATATGTTTACAGGTATGCTTCCGTCTAAAGATAACACAATAACCTATAAATAAATATAATACTACTAATACATGTAAATAAAAAGTAATATTTCTACATACTTTTAAAATAAATAATTTAAAATATGTTATTTATGACAAAATTAATTATTATTTAATATAAGAATGAAATATTTAAGAAAAGGTGTTGATAAATGTAACGAGGTGTTCCAGTTGAAATCAATAAAAATGTAAAATATTCATATATACCATCATGAATATTCATTTTATTAGAAGATTTAGTTTGAAAAGATGGACAAGGAAATATTGAAATACATAGCAATTTACAGTGAAAAAAGCTCTTTGCAAATATATATATTTACATGCCATGTCTGTTCAAGCATACCACACACGTTTGTCTATTTCATTCATAAATGTCAAACAAATCCAGTACAAAAGTACATCCTGTGAAAACATATCCGATTAACAAACATCCTTTTTTTAATTATCAACATTTAACAGTTTTTTAGAAAATAATAAATCTTTGCAAAAAAGCATTTATTCTTCAAAAACATTCTTTCATTTCGTCTAAAGAGCATGTATAGTTCCGTTCTAAATATCAGACTATAATTAATTATTACTGACAATCAGAAGATGACAATTTAGGGAATACCAAGACAAAATATTGAACATGGTTTTTTTTAACATATATTTAGTCGCTTCCAAACAAAATGAATGTAAATATTTTGCCATCAAAACATAAAGTTTTAATAAACAAATATTTTATTTTGCAATTATTGCTTGACTGAATTGGACACTCAGGTGATTGATCATTCATCTTATTTTGTAATTAATAATGTTTTGAATGTTCAGAAGCAGAGGAAATGTAGTACATAGTAACTGATGCCTGATAATCTCTCACTGATGACTGCAATAACAAATCTGATTCATACCTTTACAATACGCAATGTACATCCAAGCTGAAAACATACGCTCCCTCAGTTACCTCCCTTTGCATATAACCGTTGGTCCATTTATTGCGAAAAGATTGACAGTCTTTTTTTATATCATAATTCCTCTAAAAATAACCTTTCCTAAAATTGACTTGCAAATTTGACAATTAAGTATTGGAATCAAATCATTTGAATACAAATCAAAAGTTTTGATTCTCCAAATTCTCAAAACATAAATTGTATTTTTATTTTATTTTAGAGGAATCATGGTCATTCTGCAAGGAATTCAAGCATTATATATACCCTGATGTGAATAAGATTGAAGTCATTAACTTCATGGGAAGGGCAAAAGTGAGTTTGTGTAAAGCATGGCAATATTGGAAAGGGAGATAACTGAGTAATGACCTTGACCAGTGCTGAATGAAGAAAGATGGTGGACAACAACAATTATGTGACACCAACTACGGAGTCCCTGATTTACACTTGTGACTTGAGAATGTAGTTCCTCCTTCAAAATAGTTTGCATCAGTAGGTACGCAGGCGTGGGATAAATATCCCACCTCTACGATCACGTGACCAGTTCTGTGAGAGTTATCTCCCCTCAGAAGGTCCTAACGGCCATATTGATTCTACAGGGATAAAATCTTAAAGTATATTTATGAACCTAGAGTTAAGATTGATGTCAATTATATTGTCAAGTCTTTATTACTGGTGTAAAAGTCTTGCGTCTGAGGAAATTAAGGGAGGGTGATGAACGGCCTTGACCTTCTGTGTGGGAGTCTACTCACAGTCGTGATCACGTGACTATCATTCGTCAGCCTTGTGTAATTCTTGGCTCATCTCCCTCAGCTTAGAATGAGAGTTCCGTAACTCTCATGTTGTCAGCAGCAGCTGATCACATGCTAATCACATGACTCAATCTATTTGTAGAACTGTGCTCTCAGAGTTTACCCAACCCATTCACTTTTTGTTCCTTTTGCCCTTGTTGTAATTGTTGCTGCATCTTTGCCAGCATCGCTTGCATTCGTTGAATCTGAAGACAAGAAATTCATGTGTGTAACAAATAATCTTGCATACCAACAGACACACTGGCAACCAACTCGTTGGAAAATTAGAAAATTATAAGTAAGGATGAGAATCCCCACATCAACAGTCTGCACCCTTTGTGATCAGCCTCCCCTATTTTGGAATAGTTAGCCACAAAATCCTGAGACTCTTAAAGAAACAGGCCATCAATGATGTAGTTTTCAAGAGAAGTCATCCCATTCAGAACACAATTAAAGCCACAGGGAAACCACCATCCAGCCGCAAGCTAGAACCATCAGGAGCAGTGTACCACATTCCATGCAATTGTGGACAAGCTTACACAGGAGAAACATCTAGGCCCCTCAAAACCCGAATAAAAGAACATCAACAAAACTCAGTCTCCAAAGATGACTCTAAATCAGCTCTATCAGACCACATCCGTGACAACCCAAGCCACAGCATCCAGTGGGAGAGAGTCACAACCCTCGCCACCAACCTCAAAGACTTCAAGATCAGGAAACTACAAGAAGCCATCAACATCAAAAGACTCCAGCCGTCAATCAACTGTGACCAAGGCTATTACACCCCCACCACCCCATTGACACCTTCTCCGCATACGAATCAGTGAACTGTTGGTTGAATTATTTTATTGCCTTTGAACTTCCTTCATGCCAGTCAACAGAGTAAACAAATAAACGGTTTATTGTTTTTACGGAAGTGCTCTACTCAGTGCTAATCAGCGGTGCTATTTGCTGTTTGATTGGATTAAGATAAGGATATGTATCATTTCACTGGGGATGGGGTGGGAGAGTCGCATTGATATTGAGTTGCACTTCTGGCGTGGGGTTAGCAGTCGTATTAATTTGGAGACACATTAATTTCCAGATTTACAGTAGTTATGTTGTCCTTTTGACCTCCATAAATACTTTTTCAATGTCCGACAAACCAGAGAGGCATCGTTACACCTGTTCAAAGTCAGACAAACCAGATAGACATTGTTACACCTTTTCAATGTCAGACAAACCAGAGAGGCATCCTTACACTTGTTCAAAGTCAGACAAACCGGAGAGGTATTGTTTCACCTGTTCAAAGTCAGACAAACCAGAGAGGCATTGTAACACATGATCAATGTCAGACAAACCAGAGAGATATTGTTTCACCTGATCAATGTCAGACAAACCAAAGAGATATCGTTTCACCTGTTCAATGTCAGACAAACCAGATAGACATTTTTACACCTGTTCAAAGTCAGACAAACCAGAGAGGTATTGTTACACCTGTTCAAAGTCAGACAAACCAGAGAGGCATTGTTTCACCTGGTCAATATCAGACAAACTCAAACTCCGACAATCAGAGACATTGTTACACCTAATCAGTGTCAGACAAACTCAGACAGACCGAAGAGCATTGTTTAAGTTCAGTGTCAGACAATGAAAGTTCAGACAGACAATGGTACAAGGATCTATACTGAAACATGGCTATAACAGTATATATACTATATTAAAGAACTTGTTATACATAGGTCCAACAAAAGCCAAACTCATACTCAAATGAAAGGAAAATTGAAATTGCTATCTCACGCCTCAGACTTGGTCACAAAAAGCACTATGACAAGGTTTGTTCATCTTGCAATCAGGCTGAAACCATTGACCATGTGTTACTAGAATGTCAAGATCATGCCCCAGCCCAGGCTAGGTTAAAACAAGTTAGATTGCAGTTAGATCCGCTATCTGTAATAGATCTCCTAATGCCAAGAGATGCAATAGCGAAGGCCAAACTAACTCTATTTCTGAGAGATGGACAGCTGCTCGAACGTATATAAACAGAGCAGCCAAGGATAAAAATGAAATCATATCAATATATGAAAATAGAAATCATATCAATGCAAAAACAGAAATTATGTGAACCCTTCTCACACACAGGAGTCCCAAAGAGGGACAGGTCAGCCGAAACTGCCCAGGCAGAAGGCGATCTCTTAAACACCTAATGCAACAACAACAACAACAACTTGTTATACACAGCATGTGTCTACTTTGTACTGACAGTCTAGACAGACAATGTTTAACATGTTAACTTTGTTGTTCAAAGTGAGGAGACTACTGACCTCAGCATCCTTCTGCTCCAACAGTTTGTCTGCATCCATGATGGCTTCAAAGTTGGGACTGGAATCTCTCTTAAGTTTGCTGGGGGAAAATAACAAAAATACAAACTGCACATACTAAAACTAATCTAATAAGTAGTTCAGAAACAACATTCACCCACAAACTATCTCACTTAAGTTGTCTGAAAAACACATTTCCTGATTAACAAGCAAGAATTAAAGACTTTCAGATTTACCACGTCTACCAAAGGGTAGGATCTTAAAGTATACAGGATATACTTCACTTACCAAACTTCCGTTTTGAGAGGTTGGTCGAAGTGCCTTGAGTTGAAATGAGTCCATTATATGATGGAGTAAGTGAGGTGAGGTGAAATGGGGTTTAATGTCGTGTCCAAGATTATTGCACTTATATAGCGACGTGCATGCACGTGTGTGGCTGCTTGTACTAGTCTGGACTGATGCCGATTCGTAGTGCTAGCACACTGAGATACCATGCTGCAGTTTAACATGAATACCCCACTCAGACACAGTATACTGACTCTGAGCTGATGAGTCCTTGTTTTAGCCCCTAAATGCCGAGTGCAAGACAGGGTAACAATAAGTACCATCTTTTTACGTCTTTTGGTATGATGCAGCCGGGGGTCGAACCCTGAACCTTCCGCTCTGGGTGGACGCTCTACCACTAGACTACAGAGGGGGTCGATGGAGTAAGTGAGTGAGTATGGTTTTTCCCGCATTTAGCAATATTCCAGCAATATCATGGCAGGCGACACCAGAAATCGGCTTCACACATTGTACCCATGTGGGGAATTGAACCCAGGTCTTCAGTGTGACAAGCCAACGCTTTAACAAACTCTACCCTACCGCCCTCCAGTATGATGGAAGAGAATTGAATACAATAAACACAAAGACCCTGGCATGATGTGACCAGGTTTCTGACATACCTCCTATCCTTTTGTGAAATGGTGAGGTGATCTTTGAGATGTTCTGCACGATAATTCTCATAATGGCAGTCAGACGTCACGTCTTTTAAATCCTGCATGTGAGTGCTGCAACAAAATTTATTGAAAACTGTAGAAAAAACAATAATATATAACTGCTTTCACTGTTTCTTTGAAATGTGAAATATATAGAGATTATTATACGATCATGTTTGTCAAACTGATTTTACAAAACGAGTGTCAGAATTTTTGTATTTCCCGAGCAAGTGTGAGGGTAGTAGATGAATTCTTAGACCATTTTTGTCGGTTTAATAATGTCTTTATTACCCATTATTCCTAATTGTTTTGAGCACCCCTTTAGAAAAAAGCACTGATCGTGACCGCCTTGGAAAACCACAATTGTTGAATGCCTCAATAATCTTCAGTTACGACATTGTTTCTAACGTGACGTCATTCTGTCCTCACATCACAATAAGATTCAAAAGACGTCAACGCCATCCGGATGATGTAAACAATCCACTGGCGATATTTGCACTGTTGCATATATGACTTTTATTAACTTGGTTATATCTAACCCTGTGGGTAATAAGAGTGTGTAAGCTATATGTCAAATATTTGTTTTGAAAGTGACGATGAGATCTCAAAGTAATCATACATTGAGTCATGACTTCTTAATTCTCCTGAGGTGGGTGATATTCGTTACATATTGATTTTTATAAATAAAGATTCCATTTTATTTTAATCAAATAAACAAGTGTTATCATCATGTGTGACATTTTCTTATCTACAAACATTAATTCATGATAAAAAAACTGAAAAGTCAACAGGCGACAAGCTCATTCAGACCTTCAGTCTATCTCAACTGTCGGGCAGAGAAAGTATACACCCATGTTTGATGGTGGCTAGAAATATATGATGGGGATGTATTCAATACAGGTACAGTCAAGTCTCGTTAATCTGACATCGTTGTTTGCACATGATTGTGTCGGATTAACGAGTATGTCGGATGAACGAAATTAAGTGATTTGTGATCGAAAATCGGACGTCTTCACGATAGATCATAACCGTGTGTACCTTGTAATAAAATCATTAAAAACGAAATATTTATAATGTTATGTTGTTTATTCATTCATTCCTTAATTTATAACTAATGACATTGCAAAAATAATAATAATTTTCCCATTTATACATAACAATAGAGACATTACTCACTGAATATATCACATCAACGACATGTTTCCTCGTGTAAATGGGGTAAAAGTGCTAGTGTCTTAACAACTTGCTTCATCTACTTAAAATAGTCTGTCAGTGTTTTCTGTTTCTCACATTTTGAAGGCACAGAGTACGCTGACCACTGTGTCGGATTAACGAGACTGATTAATGAGTGATTTCGGTAATTCGTTGCAAATTAGGTGTGTCGGAGTCGGAGTGTGAAAATGTTGGATTAACGGGTCTAAATAGCACTGAATCAATCGGTTTCCATCATTTGTGTCCGTTAAGCCAAGTGTCGGATTAACGAGTGTCTGATTAACGAGACTTGACTGTATTGGAGTTGTCTTGGGCCTAAAGTTTGCAGTGTTTCGATGACTATTACATTTATGCCTAGTAATATTTAATATTTGTCATGTTATGGTCTAAATTTTCAAGTGGATGCTTTCTTTTGCCCGGCAGTTAACTAGCCAATACTTTTCACAGTGTCAGTCTCACCTTATTAACATTTGTCGCAGCTTGTTAAAGTCGCAGTGGTTGGGGTTGTCAACTGAAATAACATACATATAAAATATCAAATCCAAATTTACTTTACACTTGAAAATAAACATACAATATTCCAGGACATAGGTCGGCAAGTTATTGGTTTGTACTCCTGTAGATGTCTAGTTGAGACGTTACTGTCAGATATACAAAGGACAATGTGAAGGTATTCCTGTAGGGGACTGGTCATTTTTTAATGGGGAAACAAACATAATTTTCACTTTTATTTATATCATTTTACACTGAAATTCATTCACAAATGATGTTTTCTGACAAATTGATTACAAAACAGTAAAAAATGCCAAAGTGATTTATCTCTCAAAATGTTATCTCCCCTGTATCCATGACTACAAAATGGCCGAAACACTGGTTTTCCTGGGCAACTTTGATTATTTTCAAGCTTCAATGACAGAGCCAAAATATTGCTGACTGCGGCATTAATCAACAAACAATTCTAACATGATGGATTAAAGTGTGGTGTAAGGGTCACTGAGAGTGGCATAAGGGTCACTAAGTGTGGTGTAAGGGTCACTAAGTGTGGCATAAGGGTCACTAAGTGTGGCATAAGGGTCACTAAGTGTGGTGTAAGGGTCACTAAGAGTGGTGTAAGGGTCACTAAGAGTGGTGTAAGAGTCACTAAGTGTGGTGTAAGGGTCACTAAGAGTGGTGTAAGAGTCACTAAGTGTGGTGTAAGGGTCACTAAGAGTGGTGTAAGGGTCACTAAGTGTGGTGTTAGGGCCACTCAGTGTGGTGTAAGGGACACTAAGTGTGGTGTAAGGGTCACTAAGTGTGGCGTAAGGGTCACTTAGAGTGGTGTAAGGGTCACTAAGAGTGATGTAAGGGTCACTAAGTGTGGTCTTAGGGTCACTTACTCTCCACAATGCCCCAGGGGTACGCCCGACCCCGGATCTTCTTGCCCGCTGCCTCCACCACAGTGTTGCACCCTACTACAGCAAAGGGAACAGCAGCCTGGAAGGAGAAGACATGGCATTGATGACACTTGGCAATAATGAACACTTGGCACTAATGAACGCTTGGCAACATGTTATTGATAAACACTTGTTATTGATGAATGCATGTTACGGATGTATATTAATGACAAACTGATGAATGCATATAAGTATTGATGAATACATGTATGATGACAAAATATTGTTACAGATAAACGAATACATGTTAATGACAAACACAAGTAATTTACACTATGATTTCATAAACGTTAATTCAGACAATTTTTTGGGGAGTTGTAGATTAATACAGTATTCTGTCAAAGACATATTTCGGATTGCATAGAATGGCACAATACACTCTTTAAAAAATTAAAGGGTTGGAAACAAACATTGTCCTATTTCAAACCAAAACGGTTGCAACACACAATCAGACTCAAACATATCATGTATCAACAGCAAGCTATGAATCAAATACTGAGAATATTAATTCAGACAATTAATTCAAGGGATGTTTATGTAATTATACCAAAAAGCACAATAAAAAATAAAAACTGTAAAAGAGTGATTAATTTCTGATTTCCAACAAATGTTTGTTTGTTTGTTGTTTAACGTCGCACTCAGCAATATTCCAGCTATATGACGGCGGTCTGTAAATAATCGAATCTGGACCAGACAATCCAGTGATTGACATCATGAGCATCGATCCATGCAATTGGGATACAATGACATGCATCAACCAAGTCAGTGAGCCTGACCACCAAATCCAGTTAGTCGCCTCTTACGACAAGCAAAGTCGCCTTTTACGGCAAGCATGGGTTGCTGAAGAACTATTCTACTCCGGATCTTCACGCGTCTCCAACAAATGAACAACATTGTTAGTTGATAATGTAACATATGATACATAATGTTTTACTTTGTTATTCAGTTGCAGGTAGGCTGGTCTATAAAATAGGACAACATAATTTTCAGGCCAATGTTTTGTAAGAAATGTGATCTTGTCTCAGATGTCACTTTGAGGTCTTGCCTATCCAAAGCCTATGAATGTCGCTTCAGGGAGATGGTTTTAGGACGTCTTTAGGAAAGTCCTGCTCACCTTCAAGTCGCTGTCCTGCTGCTTGAAGTCCTCGTCCTCATCACTGTCACAGTCGGGGAACTCGTAGATGTGGATGTCATTCTTCTCGATCTCCTCCAGGATCTGCAACAGAAACACAGGAGTGAGTTGGTGAGTGGACGGATGATACATGGATGGATGGGTGGATAAAAAAGGGATTAATGGATGGATGGATAATAAAGGGATTAATGCATGGATGGGTGATACATGGATGGATTGGTGATACATGGATGGATGGATGGATGGATGGATAGATAATAAAGGGCTTAATGCATTGATTGGTGATACATGGATGGATTGGTGATACATGGATGGATGGATAGATAATAAAGGGCTTAATGCATGGATTGGTGATACATGGATGGACGGGTGATACATGGATGGATGGATGGTTAAAAAAGAGATTAATGGATGGAAGGGTGATACATAGATGGATAGATAATAAAGGGCTTAATGCATGGATGGGTGATTCATGGATTGATGGGTGATACATGGATGGATGGATGGATAATAAAGGGATTAATGGATGGATGGATAATAAAGTGATTAATGCATGGATGGATGATAAATGAATTTATTGATGGATGGATGACAAAGGGATTAATGGATGGATGGATGATAGATAATGGGATTAATGGATGGATGGATGATAAATGGATTAATGGATGGATGGATGGATGGATGAAAAGGGATTAATTGATGTAAGGATTAATGGATGGGTGGATGATGAAGGGATTAATGGATGGTTGGATGAAAAGGGATTAATGGATGGATCTATGGATGATGAATTGGAAGATAATATAGGGATTAGTGAATGGATGGATGGATGATACATGATAGCTAGATGGGTATACGATAGATAGGTACATTTAAGGATGGGTAAATGGATGGACACATGAATGGGTTGGTACATAAAAGGAGAGATGGGTACATAAATGGATGTCGATTAACAACCAGGATCTAATAGGGCCAGACATGTCATGAAACTGACAGAAAGGGGAGATAAACAGGTTAAACAAACTTAACAAGTATCATCTACCTACCCTTTGTTTTAATCTCTTCACCTCGGCCTTCGTAAGAATGTCGGATTTAGCCAGCAGTGGCACAATGTTAACTTTGTTATGTAGTTTCTTCATCACCTGTATGTCGATCGGCTTCAACCTACAAGTGACAGGTGCTGACCATTAGTTGCGAACAGGATTTTCAGAGAGAAAATGTAAGACTTATATGTTGTAGTTTTCTGTAAAACTATATAACATCTATTGAACAACCAAGTTGTATTTCTAACTAGTGTCTTAACAATAACCTATTGTGTTTTAGTGGACATACTCGTCCCGTGTGGGGATACAAAGTGTTCTAGTCATATGTGGACATACCCGTCCCATATAGTGATACAAAGTGTTCTAGTCATATGTCAACTTACCCGTCCCGTATAGTGATACAAAGTGTTCTAGTCATATGTGGACATACCCGTCCCGTGTGGGGATACAAAGTGTTCTAGTCATATGTCGACTTACCCGTCCCGTATAGTGATACAAAGTGTTCTAGTCATATGTGGACATACCCGTGTCCATATGGGGATACGAAGTGTTCTAGTGATATGTAGACATACCCATCCCATATGAGGATACAAAGTGTTCTAGTCATATGTCGACTTACCCGTCCCGTATAGTGATATAAGGTGTTCTAGTCATATGTTGACATATCCGTGCCCATGTGGGGATATGAAATATTCTAGTAATATGTGGACATATCCGTGCCCATATGGGGATACGAAGTGTTCTAGTCATATGTGGACACACCCATCCCGTATGGGGATATGAAGTGTTCTAGTAATATGTGGATATATCCGTGCCCATATGGGGATATGAAGTGTTCTAGTCAAATGTGGACATACCCGTGTCCATCTGGGGATACAAAGTGTTCTAGTCATATGTGGACATGCGCGTCTCATATGAGGATACAATGTGTTCTAGTCATATGTGGACATGCACGTCTCATATGGGGATACGAAGTGTACTAGTCATATGTGGACATACCCGTCCCATATGGGGATACGAAGTGTTCTAGTCATATGTGGACATACACGTCCCATATGGAGATACAAAGTGTTCTAGTCATATGTGGACATACCCATCCCATATGGGGATATGAAGTGTTCTAGTCATATGTGGATATATCCGTGCCCATATGGGGATATGAAGTGTTCTAGTCATATGTGGACATATCCGTGCACATATGGGGATATGAAGTGTTCTAGTCATATGTGGACATATCCATGCCCATATGGGGATACGAAGTGTTCTAGTCAAATGTGGACATATCCATGCCATCTGGGGATACAAAGTGTTCTAGTCATATGTGGACATGCGCGTCTCATATGAGGATACAATGTGTTCTAGTCATATGTGGACATGCACGTCTCATATGGGGATACGAAGTGTACTAGTCATATGTGGACATACCCGTCCCATATGGGGATACGAAGTGTTCTAGTCATATGTGGACATACACGTCCCATATGGAGATACAAAGTGTTCTAGTCATATGTGGACATACCCATCCCATATGGGGATATGAAGTGTTCTAGTCATATGTGGATATATCCGTGCCCATATGGGGATATGAAGTGTTCTAGTCATATGTGGACATATCCGTGCACATATGGGGATATGAAGTGTTCTAGTCATATGTGGACATATCCATGCCCATATGGGGATACGAAGTGTTCTAGTCAAATGTGGACATATCCATGCCCATGTGGGGATATGAAATATTCTAGTAATATGTGGACATATCCGTGCCCATATGGGGATATGAAGTGTTCTAGTCATATGTGGACATATCCATGCCCATATGGGGATATGAAGTGTTCTAGTCATATGTGGACATATCCGTGCCCATATGGGGATATGAAGTGTTCTAGTCATATGTGGACATACCCGTCCCATATGGGGATACGAAGTGTTCTAGTCATATGTGGACATCCCCGTCCCGTATGGGGATAAGAAGTGTTCTAGTCATATGTGGACATACCCGTCCCATATGGGGATACGAAGTGTTCTAGTCATATGTGGACATCCCCGTCCCGTATGGGGATAAGAAGTGTTCTAGTCATATGTGGACATACCCATCCCATATGGGGATACGAAGTGTTCTAGTCATATGTGGACATATCCATGCCCATATGGGGATATGAAGTGTTCTAGTCATATGTGGACATATCCGTACCCATATGGGGATACAAAGTGTTCTAGTGATATGTTGACATACCCGTGCCATCTGGGGATACAAAGTGTTCTAGTCATATGTGGACATACCCGTCCCATATGGGGATACGAAGTGTTCTAGTCATATGTGGACATACCCGTCCCATATGGGGATACGAAGTGTTCTAGTCATATGTGGACATCCCCGTCCCGTATGGGGATAAGAAGTGTTCTAGTCATATGTGGACATACCCATCCCATATGGGGATACGAAGTGTTCTAGTCATATGTGGACATACCCGTGCCCATATAGGGATATGAAGTGTTCTAGTCATATGTTGACATATCCATGCCGATATGGGGATATAAAGTGTTCTAGTCATATGTGGACATATCCGTGCCCATATTGGGATATAAAGTGTTCCAGTCATATGTTGACATACCCGTGCCCATATGGGGATATAAAGTGTTTTAATCATATGTTGACATACCCGTGCCCATATGGGGATATGAAGTGTTCTAGTCATATGTTGACATACCCGTGCCCATATGGGGATATAAAGTGTTTTAATCATATGTTGACATACCCGTGCCCATATGGGGATATAAAGTGTTTTAATCATATGTTGACATACCCGTGCCCATATGGGGATATAAAGTGTTTTAATCATATGTTGACATACCCGTGCCCATATGGGGATATGAAGTGTTTTAGTCATATGTGGACATATCTGTGCCCATATGGGGATATGAAGTGTTCTAGTCATATGTTGACATACCCGTGCCCATATGGGGATATGAAGTGTTCTAGTGATATGTTGACATACCCGTGCCCATATGGGGATACGAAGTAAAGGACACAATGCACTCGGTTATCCACAATATTCTTTCGGTTAAGTCCGCTCTCATCTTGGAAGTATTGTTCAAACTGCTTGTCGATGTAGGCTTCTAAGCTTTTCCAGCTGCAAACAAAAAAAGGCCAAAAGGTTCAATTATTTTGCTTGATTAAATCATGCCATAAACTAATAGAAAATATTTCAAAGAGTATCTGTTCCTGTAGTCAAACTGTTCCTTTGTAGTATCGTTCTCTAGGGGAATTATTCCCATGGAACAGTTTTACTAGGAAACTTTGATCAATTATACACTGGCGATATTTGGTCCAAATGGAACTTGTTCCATGGGAGCTGGTCATTGTTGACAGTCATTCAAATACTAAAACATAATGACTTAGTTACCTTAACAACAGCTCCTGAAGGAAATAACATGTTTGCCAACTTCCTTTTTTGAAGGAAAAATGAAACCATGGGAGATAACTCTTTCAGGACTGATGCTGTAACTTCTGCATATGGTTTGACTAATTATTTGAATGGCACGATTTCTTAAAAAACAGGGTTTGGTTGCACAAAGTGATCTTAGGGCAGCAATGACTCCCATACTTAAACATAGACATACGATGAGTGAGTTGGGTTTAACACCGCTTTTAACAGTATTCCAGTTATATTGGGTGTCAGTTTAGAATGGTTAAGATCATGGAATATGTTTCCTATGGGGATCCCGAGACAGGCCTGCCGACATCTTACCTGCTCTCTGCGTTGATTGCGTCGTTGAAACCAGGAGTGTCTACAATAGTCAAGCGTAGTCGCACCCCCTTCTCCTCAATCTCTAGCTGTTTCTTCTCTATCTCCACTGTACAGCTGACCCGATCTGAATACACAATGGAGTGAGTGAGTGAGTTAGTGGACAGGTGGGTGGGTGTGTTTTGGGTGAGTGAGTGAGTGAGTGACTTAGTGGACGGGTGGGTGGGTGTGTTTTGGGTGAGTGAGTGAGTGAGTGGACAGGTGGGTGGGTGTGTTTTGAGTGAGGTAGTGAGTGAGTGAGTGAGTGAATGAGTGCGTGAGTGAGTGGACGGGTGGGTGGGTGTGTTTGGGTGGTTGGGTGAGTGAGTGAGTGAGTGAGTGTGGCAGTGAGTGTGGCAGTGAGGTAGTGAGTGAGTGAGTGAATGAGTGAGTGAGGCAGCAAGTGAGTAGCAGAGTGAATGAGAATTAAGCTGCTATATCACATTGTGTAGCATTAAAGTAAAAAATAAAGCAGATTAGAGACCTTTACCACTTTGCTGAAACCAGCACGATGCTGCTGACAAAACAAGGAACATAATCAATCAATCATCATCATCATCATGATCGTCAATCATCATCATATATTTACCTTCTACACCGGTCACCTCTCTTTCCTTGTAGAGCTCTGTGAGGAACAGACTGTTGATTAAAGTTGATTTCCCGAGGCCCATCTCCCCTGTGAACAGAGACAGCATTCTTAGCAGCTTCCCCAGCATCTACGGGACATAGTGCATTCTCTGTGCAACTGGCAGCTACCTTGTTTATTTGTTGTTTGCTTGAAACTATGGCAGTCTTGACCAGACAAACCAGTGATTGATATAATGAGCAATCCATGGGGCCCAAAGTCACCTAGCCTGACAACCCCGTACATTTTCCATTTTCCCCACGGGCCTATGTGACTCCATGACTGGGACACTGTCTATAGAGTGTTGATTATATGACTGGGACATCGCTATAGGGTGTTGATTATGTGACTGGGACACTGTCTATAGGGTGTTGATTATGTGACTGGGACACTGTCTATAGGGTGTTGATTATGTGACTGGGACACTGTCTATAGGGTGTTGATTATGTGACTAGGACACTGTCTATAGGGTGTTGATTATATGACTGGGACACTGTCTATAGGGTGTTGATTATGTGACTGGGACACTGTCTATAGGGTGTTGATTATGTGACTGGGACACTGTCTATAGGGTGTTGATTATGTGACTGGGACACTGTCTATAGGGTGTTGATTATGTGACTAGGACACTGTCTGTAGGGTGTTGATTGTATGACTGGGACACTGTCTATAGGGTGTTGATTGTATGACTGGGACACTGTCTATAGGGTGTTGATTATATGACTGGGACACTGTCTATAGGGAGTTGATTATGTGACTGGGACACTGTCTATAGGGTGTTGATTATGTAATTAAGACACTGTCACATTTGTTTATGTTTCACAGATTTTATTCCAGCTTTTCCAATCATGTTCGATCCAAATAAAAATAAATGTCAATATTTACATATCTATTGATATGAAAAGTGAGTGAGTGAGTGAGTGAGTGAGTGAGTGAGTGAGTGAGTGAGTGACACCAGACAAGCAGACCATGAAGCCTTTTGTTTAGAGCTGAAGAAGGGAATATTTATATAACAGAAGTGTTTTTTTTAATGACATGTGGATGATAAAAAAACTAAATCAGGGTATCATAATGTCAACCCTTATTTCTGACAGTGCTTGCCATGAACTGTTAAAGAAACTTCAGTTTTATACACTGGGGATTCGGTGGACGAAATCCCCAGTTGTAGAGCATGGGATCGTATATAACTTACCCACAACCATCAGGGTGAAGTCAAATCCCCTCTTGACTGCCTTCCTGTGAACCTGATCTGGCAGCGTGGCGAAGCCAATAAACTCATCATCATCCTGGAACACAAGAGATCTAAGTTAGCATACAATCAGGGAGTGGTAGTGGTAGTGGTAGTAGCAGTTACTACTAGTAGTAGTAGTAGTAGTAGCAGCAGCAATAGTAGTAGTAGCAGTAATTTGCTTGTTTGCAAAATGATGGCAGTGTGTAAATAATCGAGTCTTGACCAGACAATCCAGTGATAGATATCCTGAGCATTGATCCATGCCATTGGGATACGATGATTTGCATCAACCAAGTCAGCGAGCCTGACCACCCGATCCTGTTAGTGGCCTCTTACAAGCATAGTCGCCTTTTACGGCAAGCATAATAGCTGTAGTAGTAGTAGTAGTAGTAGTAGTAGCAGCAGTAGTAGTAGTAGTAGTAGTAGTAGTAGTAGTAGTAGTAGCAGTAGTAGTAGTAGTAGTAGTAGTGTACTGCTCCACAAAGGTTTCTTTGCACCAGATGCCTGCAGATTACACACACACACACACTCTCACACACACACACACACACTCACTCATACACACACACACACACACTCACTCATACCCACACACACACACTCTCACACACTCACTCATACACACACACACGCTCACTCACTCACTCATACACACACACACTCTCACTCACACACACACACACTCTCACTCACTCATTCATACACACACACACATACTCACTCACTCACTCACACACACACACTCATACACACACACACACACTCACTCATACACACACACACTCACTCACTCACTCATACACACACACACACTCTCACTAACTCATACACACACACACACTCTCTCTCACTCACACACACACACACACACACTCACGCTCACACACACACACACACACACACACACACACACACACACACACACACACACACACACACACACACACAATAGATTTCCAACACACACACACTTCCCTACCGCCCAGGCTGATGCTAGAAGTGACACTTGAATCCTGTGTCAACACAACCAAGGCCAACTTAGAGCAGTTGCAATTTTCTCAATCAAGTGTTTTTTGCTCTGTAAGGTGCAGAGAAATTCCTAACACAACAACAGGCACAGCAAGGGTTGCCTACAGTATATTGATCCTTTTCTTGTTCAAGCCTTGGTGTCGCACTCATTTTGAAAAGATGTTTTTATTGGTACTTCTTTCTTTTCTTATAAACTTAAAAATTAATCTTTTTTTCCATGTACATTTTTTTTCAAAATGTGCTGTCCCTCAGTGAGGGTAAACATTAATTAACATCAGTTTTTACTGTTTTTTGGTGTTCATTTTCTGTTTTTCATTATGGACACGTTATATACTCAACACAAAAAATTAGCAGACTATAGATTTATTTGCAACCTCAAAAAAGCTGTTATATTTTTTATAATTTTTGAGATGGTCCCTCTAAAATTGACAATGCTATCATGCCATGTTTGTAATAAGGATATTTGAATTTCAAACCTAGCACAAAAACACATTGTACGGCTGTCACATGACAATAGCTCATTAAATCTCATCTCAACTTTTGAGACAACCCCTCTGAAATTGACAAAGCAAGGGATTTATATCACTCACACACAAAGCAACAAAAAATCCAGGCAGCATCTTGCGCAATAACATATTGAGTAACACATCTATCACTTAACCAAACAAACATATAGATGTCAATTTTTGAGACAGCCTCTGTGAAATTGACATCACTCTCATAGGAAGTGTGACATCAGCACAGGAGAATGATTGTGGTTCCCCTAACCTTTAATAATATCCATTACATGTGGCAATAACGAATCCCCACAATCTCTTAATGTCATCTCCTAGCTGGCTAGGTCAAATTACATCGGAATATAAAATGTAATGATGAACGATTGGACATTTTTACTCCTTGGACAGATAGCATTTGACACGTTTATTGAAGATAGTTGTTACGTGGGGGTGGAATATTAGATGAATGGCAGTATAATCAGATGGATGCAATGTATATTAACTGGATGGAACCTAGATGATGGGAGGGATGGATAGATGATATCTGATGGATAGAGGTCATATTGGAAAGATGGATGGATGGATGGATGGATGGATGGAAAGATGGACAGAGAGAGGGATGGATGGATGATGGTGGATGGAATATTGGAAAGATGGATGGATGGATGGATGGAAAGAAGGAGTGAGTGAGTGAGTGAGTGAGTGAGTTTGGTTTAATGCCGCTTTTAACAGTTTTCCAGTTATATCACGGCGTGTCAGCTTAATGTGGGATGAAAGCCCGAAGTGATGCAGGTCTCAGACCTGTACCACTTCGGTGAAACCCACGAGCACAAGAAAGAAGGAAGGAAGGAAGGATGGACTATTGGAAAGAAGGATGAATGGATGACAAGATGGTGGATTATTAGAGGGATGGATGGATGGATGGATGACAAGATGGTGGATTATTAGAGGGATGGATGGATGGATGGATGACAAGATGGTGGATTATTAGAGGGATGGATGGATGGATGACAAGATGGTGGATTATTAGAGGGATGGATGGATGACAAGATGGTGGATTATTAGAGGATGGATGGATGGATGGATGACAAGATGGTGGATTATTAGAGGGATGGATGGATGGATGACAAGATGGTGGATTATTAGAGGGATGGATGGATGACAAGATGGTGGATTATTAGAGGGAATGATGGATAACAAGATGGTGGATTATTAGAGGGATGGAGGGATGACAAGATGGTGGATTATTAGAGGGATGGATGGATGACAAGATGGTGGATTATTAGAGGGATGGATGGATGGATGACAAGATGGTGGATTATTAGAGGGATGGATGGATGGATGACAAGATGGTGGATTATTAGAGGGATGGAGGGATGACAAGATGGTGGATTATTAGAGAGATGGAGGGATGACAAGATGGTGGATTATTAGAGGGATGGATGGATGGATGACAAGATGGTGGATTATTAGAGGGATGGATGGACGGATGACAAGATGGTGGATTATTAGAGGGATGGTTAATAAAATGGATGGAATATTTATTAAATCCATTTCGAGTGATCAAGAAATGTCCACTTTAATTACATCAGCAAAGAACAATGATAAGCTCAAAATATAAATGCTTTGTATAACAAACTAAGGCACAGCATGTGGATATATGTCTGTCTAACCAAGCATGCTGACAAAAAGTTGGTCAAGCTGTTAAAGGTCACACATTTGAGTGACAGCCCGACAGGGAAATGTACGTGACCTTTCAGAAATCTTAACTCATGACAAGAAAGTGGGACATTTCTCTTTCAAGACACACCTAAAAAAACCTCATTGAGAGTGTTTCACAACAATTGACAGCTCACTGTGGAGATGCTACAAGATTTGTTGTAGGTTATATCTGTTTGGTGAAACTGGTGCCCCCTGAGAGAAGTCTAAACAAAAGTGATGACAAGTCTCCATTGTAGGGGAAAAGAGATCTCTTAGTAAACATGATACTGTCTTCTAGAATGGTGCTTACCAACAATCTTTGTGTTATCTTAATCCTAATCTATCATACAGACCCTGAAACAAATATATCCAATACTGCCCATGCAAGTCTATAATAGTTGGCAAGTCTAGATTACTGTCATACAGACCCTGAAACTAATATGTCCAATACAGCCCATGCAAGTCTATAATACATGTAGTTGGCAAGTCTAGATTACTGCAGTTTCAGAAAATGGGCTTCTTTTTATTATATTTTATTAAGATAATTTAGTAAATGTTTTTATTCTGTAAAACATTGTCATTTTAGAGATTAGATGTTAGTCTATTCACGGTTTTGTTATTCAGGATATTTCTGATGATGTGTTTTTGTCTTCATTATGTTAAGGTGAGGTGAGGTGAAGGGGGATTCATTAAAGGTTGATTGTGTGCCACTGTAAGGTAAGATGAAATTGGGTTCAACATTGCTTTAAAAATTATTGCATTTACATTGCGATGTGCATTCTCATGTGTGCATATGCATGTGTGTGTGTGACTGTGTGTGACAATGTTTTATAGTGCTAGCCCACTGAGATACCATGCCACAGTTTAACATTTACCCTACTCTGACACAGTATTCTGGCTCCGAGTCGACTAGTCCTTGTCTTATCCCCTTAACATCGAGCAACAATAAGAACAAGACGTAACAAAAAGTACCATTTTTGGCTTTTCTGTTTGGCCTAAATGTATTGTTTGTTTGTTTGTTTGTTTGTTTGTTTGTTTGTTTGTTTGTTTTACGCCGCACTCAACAATATTCAAGCTATATGACAGTGGTCTGTAAATAATCAAGTCTGGACCAGACAATCCAGTGATTGATATCATGAGCATCAATCCACACAAATGCATCAACCGTTAGTCGCCTCTTACGACAAGTATAGTCACCTTTTACAGCAAGCATGTATAAAAGAGAAATGCTATGAATATAGTTCCCCTATGCAGAGGCATTAAACAACATTTATTAGATCAACACAAAGGGAACAGTAAATCTCAGATCTACCAGTTGACAAAGCTTCCACAGGCTTCATATAATTGACAGTCTTATCACAGCTACATCAACACGAGGTACAATAGCAGCCCTGTCCAGGACTCCACCCCATTCGTTCCAGCTCATGGACTCCCCCAAACATCTTTTACCTGGCGATGGGCTGAAACCTCGTTAGCTCACCTATCAGGTAACACTTGGGTGTCCATCCACATCAAACAAACCCTGATTGGAGTGTCACAAGTGAGCAAATAACCCAACGCATAGTGAGGGTCAGTTAGAAGCATTGGTCAGTGCACATGGTCTACCGATAACAGTTCCAGGTCTTCTTGTTCCAAATAAACTTTCCTTTTCAACAAATACTTTGAGATAGGGAAATAATAATATGTACCGTATTCGACGTAATAAGCGCCCCTCTCTAATAAGCACCCACAGTGATATTTGCTAATAAATTGGTCAGTGAACAATCCCAATAAGCACCTCTTCCAATTGATCAATGAACACAAGACATATTTATTCATGTATAATACG